CAGCTCCGACGAGAGCCGCGCGCGCCCGAGCAGGGCGCGCCTCCATGGAGGCCCGAGGCGCCCGTCGGAGGCGCAGAGGCGAGGGCCCTGGCGGCGTAAGAGGGCGGCCAACGGCGGCAGGGGGAACATGGCACGAGCCGGGGCCGCGTTCTCCAGGGCGGAGGAGGGGACATATGAAGGGGCCCTGGGACACACAAATAAATGCACACAAATTCGCCGGCCCAACGGGCCAGAGGCGTGCTAAGATCTCCGGTAACTGGTAAACAGTATTTCTGGTTCGCGAGCGCAGGGCCGCCCCTGGGGGACCCTGGATCAAAAGTACCCCAGGCGGAGCCCGGGACACGCCTGGGACACTCCCCCAGATCCTCCAGGATCGCCCCTAGAGGGCCCCAAGAGGCCCCCAACACGGTCCAAGAGAGGTCCGAGACGCCCGAAGATCGCTCCACGGCGCCCAAGATGGCCTCCAGACGGCCCAAGACGTCTCCAAGATGACCCAACAAGCCTCCAAGATGCCCCAAGAGGCCTCCAGGAGCACTCCCAAGAGGGCCCGAAGAGGCAAAAATCAATGCTGTTTCTTATGTTTTGGACAGATTTGGGCGTTTTAACCTTTTAGGTTCCCCGACGCCGCGAAACGGCTCAAGAGGCCTCCAAGATCGCCCCAAGAGGGCCCAAGAGGCCCCCAAGAGGGCCCCAAGACGGCCCAAGACGGCTCCAAGACGGCCCCAGAGGCCTCCAGGACGGCCCAAGAGGGCCCCAAGAACGCCCCCAACACGGTCCAAGAGAGGTCCGAGACGCCCGAAGATCGCTCCACGACGCCCAAGATGGCCTCCGGACGGCCCAAGACGTCTCCAAGATGGCCCAAGAAGCCTCCAAGATGCCCCAAGAGGCCTCCAAGCGAACTCCCAAGAGGGCCCCAAGAGGCAAACAACTGTGTTTTTTTATGGTTTTGGACAGATTTGGGCGTTTTAACCTTTTCGGTTCCCCGACGCCCCTAAACGGCTCAAGAGGCCTCCAAGATCGCCCCAAGAGGCCCGAGAGGCCCCCAAGAGGGCCCCAAGACGGCCCAAGACGGCTCCAAGACGGCCCCAGAGGCCTCCAGGACGGCCCAAGAGGGCTCCAAGAACGCCCCCAACACGGTCCAAGAGAGGTCCGAGACGCCCGAAGATCGCTCCACGACGCCCAAGATGGCCTCCAGACGGCCCAAGACGTCTCCAAGATGGCCCAAGAAGCCTCCAAGATCCCCAGGAGGTCTCCAAGTGCATTCCCAAGAGGGCCCCGAGAGGCACACAAACAATGCTTTTCCATAGGTTTTGGACAGATTTGGGCGTTTCAACCTTTTCGGTTCCCCGACGCCCCTAAACGGCTCAAGAGGCCTCCAAGATCGCCCCAAGAGGGCCCAAGAGGCCCCCAAGAGGGCTCCAAGATGGCCCAAGACGGCTCCAAGACGGCCCAAGAGGCCTCCAAGACGGCCCAAGAGGGCCCCAAGAACGCTTCAAGAACGCCCCAAGAGGGGCTTCACGAAACAGAATTTCGAGGTCTCGGCCCTTAGAGGCCCCCGGGAGGCCCCAAGACGCCCCCAAAGGCCCCAAGAGGCCCCCAAGAGGCCCTCAAGAGGCCTCAAGAGGCCTCCAAAAGGCCCTCTGGAGGCCTCCAAAAAACCCTCAGGAGGCCCCCAGGACGCCTCCAAGACTCCAGCCAGACGCGACTTGGGAAACGCGGGTCGGGGTGGTCCTCCTCCCCCGCGCTCGGCCTCCAGACTCGAGCCTCGACCCTCCACGACGACGACGACGACGACGCCGGCGGGCGGCGGCGGCGGGCGGCGGCCGCGGCGACGACGACGACGACAAAGGCGCTCCTCATCGCTCCTCATCCCCCTCCTCCTTCCTCCTCCTCCTCCTCCTCCTCTTCCTCCTCCTCCTCGTCCTCCTCCTCCTCCTCCTCCTCCTCCTCCTCCTCCTCCTCCTCCTCCTCCTCCTCCTCCTCCTCCTCCCCCCATTCAGAATGGACGACATCCGACGACAAAGGCGCCCCTCATCGCTCCTCATCCCCTCCTCCCTCCTAATTTTCCTCCTCCTCTTTCTCGTCCACCTCCTCTTCCTCCTCCTCCTCCTCCTCCTCCTGTCCTCCTGTCCTCCTTCTCCTCCTCGTCCTCCTCCTCCTCCTCCTCCTCCCCCAATGCAAAATGGACGGCATCCGACGGCAAAGGCGCCCCTCATCGCTCCTCATCGCCCTCCTCCCTCCCCCTCCTCCTCCTCCTCTTCCAATTCCTCCTCCTCCTCCTCCTTGTCGTTCTCCACCTCCCTCCTCCTCCTCCTCCTCCTCCTCCTCCTCCTCCCGTCCTCCTCCCGTCCTCCTCCTCCTCCCGTCCTCATCCCGTCTTCCTCCTCCTCCTCCTCCTCCTTCTCCTCCTTCTCCTCCTCCTTCTCCTCCTCCTCCAAGATGACCCAAGAGGACCCAAGGGTTCCCCTATCGCATAAAATGCCTCTTCCCCCAGCTCGAACGGCCCCACAGCGGGATACCACGGGTAACACGCCCCCACGATGGCACCAAAGCCGTCAACAAACTGCAAACACCTAGAAACCCCATGAAATAACAACAACATATTTATCGACAACTACACAGCTCCCGACGCCGCAGCTCCACACTGCAAACGACCACTCGGACAGGCGACCACGGTGCGACATTATGGGCCGGCGGAATGAGCGAAGCGATTAAATAAAAGGACTCCCCATATTTTCTGGATTTTCGTCTTCCCCCCCACTTCCCATATTTTCCCATATTTTCTGGGGAATCGACGATTCATTGTGTCTGTGGTTTTTTCTCCCCTCCTGAACATAGCACGCTCGGGGACGCATTCTCCGGAACTTTTTTTGGGGGGGGGTCTGCAGGGCGAGAGCGAGCCTCTTCCGCTAGAAGCTCCGCGGGACGCGCGCGGCTTTCATTGACAGAGAGGGGGCGAGAGCAGGCAGGGCCTCACGCGGCCAAGAGCGGGCGGGGCCCGGGGATCAGGCGGTGCCGAACGGGACGTCGCAGTCTCCGGAACACAACAGGTTCCGGGGCGCAGAAGCCAGAGCCAGATGGTGCCCCGCTCGCAGGCCCAGGCAGCAGGCACCACCCTCCCGAAAAGAACCTAGGCCAAGGCGACTTTTGACAGAAAGACGGTGGATGGTGCAGAAACACCAACGGACAACTCCAAAAACAGAGAGGCAGCCCAGCGTACCCGACACTTTCGCATGGAGACCGGGAAACCAAGACGTTCGACCTTCAATCGAAACACAATCGGATATATGGTCGAGGGTTTTGCCCCCCCCCAATGCTAATGCCATCGGGCTCCCCCCCCGCGCGATGGTCCCCCCCCCTCCCCCTGTGGATGTGGTGTGGGTGTGGTGTGTTGCTGTGGGTGTGTGTGTGGGGTGACCCAATGTCCTCCCCCCCCCCTCCCCCTGTGGGTGTGGTGTGGGTGTGCGTGTGGCTTTGATTGTGGCGTCATGCTGACGTGCTTTCGGAAAGCTCTGGTGCTCGACGTCGTCGCCGCCGCCGTCGCCGTCGCCGACGCCGGTGCCTCCTCCCCCCCATCCCATCTGGGGGGGGAGGCCCGAGGACCCTGGGACCCATCCCATCTGGAGGGGGAGGGGTCCCGTGGGCCCGGAGGCCGCGATCATATATACTCCGACCACTTCTATTTGCCGACCAAGATCTGGGCGGCAAACTTGCTGTTTGACACGCCCATTGGCGGGGGATCCCCTGGAACAGAAAACTGGGCTAAAAAACTTCACCGTACCAAAATTCACGAGGCAATTCGCATATAAATCAACATCCCGATCAACGAAATATCCAAAACTGCCCGGCCAAAACTGTCCGGCGAATCTCTTTGCTGGAAAGACTGGCCGGAGGATTGCTTTAATAACGTAACCTCTAGTGGGAAATTTGTTGGACACCATCCCTTGCAGTCAATCACTTACGCCGTCATTGGGTTCGACGTCGGGGTCGGCGTCGTCGTCGTCCTCGTCGCCGTCACCCTCGTCGTCGTCCTCGACCTCGACGTCGTCGTCATCGCCGTCGCGGTCGTCGTCGTTGCCTTCGGCGTCGTTGCCCTCATCCCCATCGTTGTCGCACTCGTCACTCGTTTTCGGCGTCGGCGTCCGCCTCGCGGTTGCCCTCGTCGCCGCCGCCGGCGTCGAAACGCAATCGCCGTCGCCGGCGTCGGCAACGTTGTCGGCGTCGGCGTCGGCGTTTGCGTCTGCGTCGCCGTCGGCGTCGACGTTCTCGGCGCCGGCGTCGGCGGCGTCGGCGTCGGCGTCGTCGTGGTCGTCGTCGGCGTCGGCGGCGTCGGCGTCGGCGTCGGCGTCGGCGGCGGCGGCGTCGGCGTCTGCGACGTCGTCGTCGTCGGCGTCGGCGCCGCCGACCTCGCCATCGCCTCCGCCGTCGCCATGGCGTCGCCGTCGACGGCGTCGGCGTTGGCGGCAGCGTTGGCGTTGGCGGCAGCGGCGGCGGCAGCGTCGTCGTCGTCGTCGCCGACGGCGTCGCCGTCGTCGTCGTCGCCGGCGTCGGCGTCGGCGTCGGCGTCGACGTCGTCGGCGTCGGCGTCGGCGTCGGCGTCGGCGTCGGCGTCGGCGTCGGCGTCGGCGTCGGCGTCGGCGTCGGCGTCGGCGTCGGCGGCGTCGGCGGCGTCGGCGTCATCGGAGCCGACGACCTCACCGTCGCCATCGCCGTCGCCACGGCGCCGTCGTCGGCGTCGGCGCTGGCGTCGGCGTCGTCGTCGTCGCTGTCGCAGTCGGCGTCGTCGTCGGCGTCGGCGTCGTCGTCGTCGTCAGCGTCGTCGTCGTCGTCGTCTTCGTCTCCCTGGTCTTCGTCCTCGCCGTCCTCGCCGCCGCCACCGCCGCCGCCGCGACCCCGCTACACTCCGCCGCCGCTGTGGCCCACGCTGCGCGCTGTCGCTACGCGTCGTCGCCGCCATCGGCCTCGAGGGCCTCGTCCCCGACGGGCGGCGGGGGGCGCGCCTTGCCGAAATGCGGCGCTGGGCTCAGCGGGGTCGACCTCTGGGAGACCCGCTTCCTGCCGAGAGGGGGGGCAGCGCATCTTAGCATGGGGGAAACGGATCCTGAGGGAAACGGGCCCTGGACCCAGGGGAATTCTTCCAGGACGAGATCTTCATCCGGACTCACTCTCTGGCAGCCCATGGAGGGGCCCAGGAAGCCGAACACGACGAAAAACCTCAGGACCCCCCGTTTCCCTCAGGACCCGTTTTCCCCCATTGCGAGCGTCGCATAACGTCGCCCCTGTCGCTGGTCGGCGTCGTTGCTCGCGGCGGTGAAGACGGTGTGAGGCGACGGGGGCGGGCGGCGGCGGCGAAGGCGGGAGAGAGGAGGGGGAGAGAGGAGGGAAATCAACATTTGGACTGCCCATGTGCTGAAACGTTGGCGGTGCGCGAGAGGGGCCAGGGGAAGGGGGAATAGCTTCTTCAAGGGAGCCCTTCCATGTGGCCGTGACCGCCCTTCCGCGAGCGCCGCCACCACGAAAGGCCCATGGGGCAACGCGATTGGGGTCGGCATGCCAGCGGAGACGCCTGCTTGCACAACCTCCCCCCCCGACCGCCACGCCAACGCCTGGGGTGGGCGCCGTGCAGGCCGGTGGGCGCGGACGGCGCTGCGTTCCTCTCGGCGCGCGGGAGCCCGCCGGCAACCCGCCGGTCCCAGCGCGGCCCCCGAGAGGGAGGCGCAGGGAAGGGGGCGCGCGGGCGCAGGTGACGAGCGCCTCCTGCCTGCACCTCTGAAGGGGCCCTGGGACACACAAATAAATACACACAAATAAAAGGATCCCCAATATTTTTCAATATTTTTTGGGTTTTTTGTTTTCCCCCCCACTTCCCATATTTTCCAGGGAATCGACGATTAATTGTGTCTGTGTGTTTCTTTCCCTCCTGAACCTCTTGCGGCGGGGGGTGCCGCATGTAACTGGCAAGGGTGGCGCTAGCCTCACACCTGGAGTGGCGAGCAGGGCATGGCGCGCCCCGTCTGCGCTCCCGAGGCTGCAAAGCAACTCCGGCCTTTAGCGCGCTTTTTGGCAGGCGCGCCTCGGAGCCCCGAGAAGCGAAGGCGCCACCTCGGGGCATCCCCCTCGGCGGCCCAGTGCAAGCCCCCGCCCCGTGGAGAGTGTGCCAGACTTGCACGCGGGCCGGGGCCACAAGAAGTGCAGTCAGCCCCGCCCAACTGAAGGGGCCCTGGGACACACAAGTAAACACACACAATGAAAGAAGGATTCCCCCATATTTTCCCATAGTTTCTGGGTCTCTGTCTTCCCCCCCACTTCCCATCTTTTCCTATACTTTCTGGGGGATCGACGACTAATTGTGCCTGTGTCTTTTTTTCCTCCTGACGGCCGGGACCAACGGTCGGTAGCGGTCGGGAGCGGCCAAAAGGGGGGTGTCCAAGAGGGGGGGGGGTGCAAATCATGACCGGCGGCATGTGCGCGGCCCAGCGGGGGGGCCAGGGACGTAATGAAATAAGAAGAGGCACCATGAGATCTAGGGAAATATCATGGCCCCCGCCATGATATCCACCCCCCCCTAGTCATCACCCCCCTCTTTGCCGCCCCCGAAACGGGGGGGTGCATGAGCCTCCCCGCGGGAGACGAAGGGCGACAGGGCCCGGGCACCGGCGGCCGTGCTTAAGCGCGGCCGCCCCCGGGGCTCCGCCGCGCGGCGCCACGCCGGGAGGGTTCCTCCTCCTCCTCTCCTCCTCCTCCTCCTCCTCCTCCTCCTCCTCCTCCTCCTCCTCCTCCTCCTCCTCCTCCTCCTCCCCCCACATTTGCCCCCGCACACCGGCGGCCAGGCAGGAGCAGGGGATGCGCGGGGGCCCTGCCACGCCCCTCGGCGCACGAGGGGGTTGGCAACCCCCATGGTTGTGGATGCCATGACAGTGGACACTCTGACAATCCGATCGTAGAATTAAAGATGTGTTTAAAATGTGTAAAACATGTCCTAAACATGTTCCAAACATTTCTTTAACACATTTATAACATGCTTGAAACATCTTTTAGACATCTGGAAATGATTCGGCAGCACGCTTCCTCTCCATTAATCGACTTCCATAACCCCATGGGGAAGCGCCCCCAAGGGGCAGCAAGCCGTCGGGCAGTCTAAGGACGACGTTGGAGTGCAGGGTCGGACGAAGTCGTCGTCGTCGTCATGGCACACCGGGCCCCAACGGCGACGGTTGAAGGCTTCCGGCTAGGGCCAGCGTCGGTATGGGCGTCGTCCGCTTCCTGTGATGAAGAGTCGGAAGAAGGCATGCACGACCATCGCGCCCGCGGCACCACGGCTGGCGCCGAGGGTGTCGTCAAGGTAGACAGTGGGTGCATACAGTGGGGGCCGGCTACAAGGAATCTTCCACAAAAAACCCAACCCTGAGACCCCAAGACGTCCATTGATTTTTTGTGCGGAGCGCCACGCACTTGATATTGATGTTTGATGTATGACTTTTGCTAACGCAACCGACGAACAGCAAGACACCCAGGGCACCCTGGAGGCAAGCAAGGTGCTTCTTGGCATGGGCCCCCACCCCAGGCTGGGCTGACGTCGGGCGTGTCCCCCATACAGCGGGAGCTTGGGCGAAAGATGACAAATACAGATCGCCCCCCAAAACTGTAAAACAAATCATCCCCATATTATTTTTGGATTAAATTTTAAATATTCCCTCCGTAGAGGGACGGGCCCGACGTAAGGCTGGGCACACGCGGCAAGGGGGGCGCACTGCTCGCGCGCGCGCGCGGCTCTCGGGGCTCTTGACGTCCGCCGCCCCGCGCGCCGGCCCGCGGCGCGGGGCTTCGTCTGCCGCAGACCCCCGGGGGGTCTGGGGGCCGGATCGGGCACGATCGGGTGGCGGATCGGGCACGAGGAGGAGGAGGAGGAGGAGGAGGAGGAGGAGGAGGAGGGGGAGGAGGAGGGGGAGGAGGAAGAGGAGGAGGAGATGGAGGAGGAGGAGCGAACGCGACCGGCGTGAGGTGGCGCGGCGGCCTGGAAAGAGCGGCGACCGTCGGGAACTGCGGGGAATCGAACCAACCCGAGCACTTGGGACATTCGTTCCGTCTGATCTCGCCGGACGCCTGGGCATCGGCAGTTCGCCACTTTACAACTTAAGGCGATCGTTGTGCTTCGGAGCAAGGCGAATTGAGAAAACGGCAGCTCAAACACGGCCTCTGGACCCCTCCCACGGTCCGAACGCACCTGTTTCCCAAGCTGCGTCCAGCCAGGGCCCCGAGTGGCCCCCCCCGAAAGCCAACTGGCGCTGCTTCAGAGTCTGATGTAAACTCCAGCCCTGGGGACCTGTCAGCACCTCCGCTGACGTGTAGAGCCAGCTCCGACGACGAGGCACCTCGGGAAATCGAGGGGCGTCGATGCCGCTCCCCGTACCTACCCGTGCGGAGGAGGCAGGGGAGGGATAGGAGGAGGAGGAGGAGGAGGAGGAGGAGGAGGAGGAGGAGGAGGAGGAGGAGGAAGAGGATCATCACGTGGTTGGGGGCGGAGTTCGTCCACCCTAGGGCCTGGCGTCCTCCTGAAAGGACATGGCCTGACGCTGACGAGTTACATAATCCGTCAACCTGAGCGGCGGGCAACTGTACCTGGAGGGAGCGGGAAAGTTGTTTCTGGGGTGCTTACCCTTACAGAGCAGATTCCACTGAGTTCGAGCACCATCACGCTTGAACTCTCCTCCACAGGCCTTGCTTAAACCCACGACGTTGGATTCACTGTAAAGACCACGCTTGGCACATGCAAGAATAAAATTTGCACCCCTGGTCTCCTCTGATACATACAGCTGATGCCTGCGGGGGTCAGTTGCCAGATCGGCCAAATCAGGATGGAACCCTCTGCAAGCCTCATCCTTTCGGCCAGCCAACTGCTTCTGAGCGCATCTGGTCTTACAGACTGCGCATATCCATTTAGGAGGAGGAGGAGGAGGAGGAGGAGGAGGGGGAGGGGGAGGAGGAGGAGGGGAGGGAGCGTTCTGACCAGAATCTCGAGGCGCCTCCAGCCGTGGCGACAACCCAAGAGGCCAAAAGGGGCCCCCCCAAAGGCACTTAAGACGCCCCAAGCAGTCTCGGTGAGAAGGCCAGTGATTTCACTAGGAAGTTTTGGTCACAATTTGGCCTCCTTGAGGTGGGACCCCAATTGAGGAGCCCCCCCCTCCCTTGACCGATCTCCTACAAGATGGCCCCAAGATGGCGTCCGAGGGTCCCAAGGGTGCCTCGAGACGGCCCCAAGAGGTGCCCAGGAGGCCCCAACAGGCCCCGAAGATGCCCCCAAGAGGCCTCGACGAGAAGCATAAAACCACTGATTATACTCAAGTGGTGACCAGTCACAATTTGGCGTCCTGGGGAAGGGCCTGATCTAATACGGCACGTCCTTTGATCGATCTCCTCCAAGGTGGCCCCCGAGGCTACCACGGGTGCCTCAAGGCGGCACCAAGAGGTGCCCAGGATGTCCCAAGAGGCCCGCAAGACGCCCCCAAGATGCCTCCAGGAGGCTCCACAAAGACCCCCAAGATGCCCGAAGAGGCCTCCCAGAGACGCCCAAGACGTCCCAAGAGATCCCTGGGACTGCCAAGAAACCTCCAAGACGCCCCACGAGGACTCTCAGAAGATCTCGACAGACAGCCGAGGAGAGTTTGAGAGGCATTATGAGGCCCCTAATTAGCCTTTCTGCTCGCCCTCCTCCTCCTCCTCCTCCTCCTCCTCCTCATCCTCGTCCCAATCCGCCTATTCCTCCTCCTTCATCCTCCCTCCTCCCCTTCCCCCATGTCCGTAATTACTCTTCCTCCTGCTCCTCCGATTCCTCCTCCATACTCCCCCCGTAGGGTATGACGTCTTACCTAGCCCTCGAGTCCACTGCATGGTCCTTCACATCCATGATCAGGGCAACTCGTCTGGGTATCGTTTCTGGATGTTACTTTTCGGTCGCGGCCGCGAGACAAAGGTCAGGCGGCGAGAAGATTTCTGGATGTTACGCCAAGCGTCTAGAATTTCGAAGCCACTCTGGCCGTGGCGACGAGGTCCTCGCAGGTCCCAGGCCCCCCCAAAAGGAGGAGGCAACGAGGCAATGGTAGCTGTATCGGTGCCCTTTCTTCGGATCGGATCGGAATGCGCGTCGGATCGGTCCGCAACGGCACGGAGTCAAATTCGGATAGGATCGACTGCGCCAGGATGCGCAGCAGCGCTGTGCAAATATCGGGCCGCATCGGATCGTCGGAATGTCGGATCGAATCGAATCGGGCCGACCGATCTTCACGTATCCTCGTTGTTTCTATCGGGGGCTTGCCGTGACCAGAATTGCCAGAGTGCGACCGACACCTTCGCCCGAAATGCCGAAATAGCTTGGCTCGAAACCAGCACGATGTTCGATGCCAGTCACGCTATCGGCCACACTGCGGCGTCGGTCAAATATCCGGACCCGCGGGGGTCCCAGGGGGGGGTGTCCCCGGGGGGGGAGTCCCAGGGGGGTGGGGTCTCGGGGGGGCGTCCCAGGGGGTGGTCCCGGGGTGGGGTCCTGGGTCAGAATACCACCCTTCCGGGGCCCATGGCCCGCCCTGCGAATTATGGGAAACGCAATTTCCATCAAAAAACAACACGCAATGAGCCACAATCGCGTTTCCCATAATCTTTGATTCTGGGAAACGCAGTCCCGGACGACTCCCTCTCCCTCCCGTTTCTGGCGAGGGCCGAAGTCTCTCCAGGGTCGGCGGCACCAGCCGCATAAGGTCTCAGCAGTGTTCGGACGCGCTGTCGGTCACCGATTTTTGATCGGCTACATGCCTTTTCTCGGCTGCCCAGGGCCAAGTACCACGACGAGCTCGATATCAATCCGGATCGATCTGGCCGAAATGATAAGCAAGGCAAGCGACCCTTACCCTTTGGGAGCGAATGCACGTCAGGAGGACCAAAACCATCAGGGGCAGATTGGTTTGAAGATGTATGGGACGAAATCACGCACATGTTTAGAGCACCCAAAACCAGGGACCAAAATCAGGTCACGAATCCACTGTGGTTCGGGTTAGGGCTTGTATGATGCTGAATGACCCTGTGGACCCCCCTTGGCCCAAGGCAGCTCCGAGCTGGCCCAAGTCCACCCAGAGATGGCCCCTCAAGGGCGGCCCCAACACAAACCCGACATGGCCCACCAAACCTCCGACGGCCTCGAACACGCCCACGCGCGGTCCCGAGAGCCCCGAGAGCTGCCCACCAAAAGTAGAGCTCTCCTAGACGGGGTCGGAGTAGATGGGGTCGGAGGATCGCGACGCATCGCCGATACCTCGGCGACGCATCGGCGATGTATCGGTGATGCACCGGCGAAGCATCGTCGACGTCGGCGATGCATCGGCCACGTAGGAGTGGAGAAAATCGGGCTCCGCATCGAGCCGCATCGGCGATGCATCGGCGAGGCGGTGCGATCCTCCGACCCCATCAAGTTACGCGCCGGTCGGAAGAGGTAGGTGAAAACATGAAGTAGGAAGGCGGAACAAGCAGATTGGGTTCAGGACCTCCCAGAGAATCACAGACCACAGAACACAAAGCGCATCGGCTCTTGCAGTAGGAAGGCGCTTGAAGTAGATTGGGATCTGGGGAGCCAGAAATACATCCTCCAGATTTCGTAATCAAAGGGAGGGGGTCTGGACCCTCCAAGACAAGCCATTTCAGACCTCCCCCCGTGGGAGAACCCTCCAAAACATCGTCCCCCAGACCCCCCCAGGCCCTCCAAGATAGCCTGGAAGAGACCCCCCCCGAAATGAGACCCCCCTCCCTTTATTACGAAATCTGGAGTACTTTCAACGACCGGCGTGTACTCCGACCCCATCCGGGAGGCCCCCCGAGAGGGCCGCGAGCTGGGCCCCGCGACGAGGCCCCCGCCGAGAGGGGCCACGAACTGTAGGCCCTGCGGGGGCGACGGCGCGCGTCCTCGGCGCGGCGTCCGCGCCCGAGCCCTCCGCGCCGCGAACTGCGCCCGCGCCGCCGGGGCCCAGCGCGGCGGGCGCCCTCGCGCGCGCGACGACGACGACGACGACGACGACGAAGGCGTCGACGACGACAGCGGCGGCGGCGGCGACGACGGGCGAAGACGACGACGGCGGCGACGACGGGCGAAGACGCTGACCACGACGACGACGACGACGACGACGAGGGTGGCGACGACGACAGGCGAAAACGACGGCGATGACGACGGGCGAAAATGACGACGACGACGACCGCGACGAAGACGACGGCGGCGGCGGCGGCGGCGACGACGACGACGGGCGAAGACGACGGCCATGACGACGACGAAGACGACGGCGGCGGGCACGACGACGGGCGAAGACCACGGCGGGAACGACGGGCGAAGACGACGACGACGAAGACGACGAAGACGACGACGACGACGGCGACGGCGGCGGCGACGACGACGGGCGGAAACGACGACATTAGCGACGACGGGCGAGCACGACCACGACGACGACGACGTCGGCGGCAGCGACGACGACAGGGAAAAACTACAAAGGCGACGGGCGAAGACGACGAACACGAAAATGGCGACGGCGCCTTCAAACGACGACGGCGGCGAAAACCGGCGAAAACGACGAAGACGTTCGGAGACGACGACGACATGCGAAGACGACGACCACGACGACGACCAAAACGACGACGACGACGGCGGCGACGACGACGGGCGAACACGACGGCAATGACGACGCGCGAAGACGACGACGGCAAAGACGACTACGGCGGCGGCGAACACTGGCGACGAAGGCGGCGACTGCGGCGGCGGAGGCGGCGACGACTGGCGAAAACGACCACGACAACGAAGACGTCGACGAACACGACGGCGGCGACGACGACGACGACGGGCAAAGACGACGACGACGAGGACGACGACGGGCGAAGACGACGACGGCCACGACGACGGCGGCGGCAAAGAAGACTACGACGGCGCCGACGACGGGCGAACACGACGACGACGGGCGACGACAGCGACGATGACGGGCGAAGACGACGACGACAACGGCGACGACGGCGACGACGACGGGCGAAGACGACGGCGACGATGACTGGCGAAAACGACGACGACGACGACGGCGACGACCACGACGACGACGACGGCAACGACGACGGCGGCGGCGGCGGAGACGACGACGGGCAACGACGACGACGGGAAACGACGACGACGACGGCGGCGACGACGGGCGAGCAAGACCACGACGACGACGGCAACGACGGTGGCGGTGGCTGCGACGACGACGGGCAAAGACGAAAAAGCTGACAGCGACGACGGGCGAAGACGACGACGACGACGACGACGACGACGGCGGCGACGACGAAGACGACAACGGCGGCGACGACGGGCGATGACAACGACGGCGGGCGAAGACGACGACGGCGAGGACGACGGGCGAAAACGACGACCACGACGACGACAACGACGAAGACGGCGACGGCGACGACGACGGGCGAAGACGACGGAGACGACATTGGGCGAAGACGACGACGACGACAACGCCGGCGACAGCGACGACGACCACGACGACGACGACGACGACGACGGCGGCGGCGGCGGCGACGACGACAGCGGCGACGACGACGACGGCGGCGACGATGGGCGAGAACGACCACGGCGCCGACGACGGCAACGACGGCGGCGGCGGCGACACCCATGGGCAACGACGACGGCGGCGACGACGACGGGCGAAGACGACGACGACGACGATGACGGCCGCGGAAGCAAATACGACGACGGCGGCGACGACAGGCGAAGACGACGACGACGACGACGGCAGAAGACGACGACCACGACGACGGCGACGACGACGGGCGAAAACGACGACGGCGGCGACGACGACTGGCGAACACGACGGCAACGACGACGGGGGAAGACGACGACGATGACGACGACAAAGACGGCGACGGCGACGGCGACGGCGGCGACAATGGCGGCGGCGGCGACGACGACGACCGGCGACAACGACGACTGCGGCGACGACGGGCAAGCACGACCACGACGACGACGACGACGAAGACAACGACGACGACGACGACGACGACAGCCGCGGCGACGGCGACGACGACGGCGACGACGACGGGCGCAGACGACAACGACGACGACGGCGACGAAGATGGCGACGACGGCGGCGACGACGACGGGCGAAAACGACGGCGACGACGACGGGCGAAGACGACGACGGCGGGTGACCGCGACGACGGGCGAAGACGACGGGCGAGGACGTCGACGACGACGGCGGCGACGACGATTAGGGCGGCGACGACGACGGGCGATGACGACGGCGACGACGACGGGCAAAAACGACAACGACGGGCGACGACGACGGCGACGACGACGGGCGAGGACGACGAATACGACGACGACAAGACGACGAAGAAGAGGGCGACGACGACGACGACGGGCGAAGACGACGACGACGACGGGCGACGGGCGACGACGACGACGACGACGACGACGGCGGCGTCGGCGGCGAGCGAACACGACGACGACGGGCGAAAACGACGGCGCCGACGACGGGCGAGCACGACCACGACGGCGACGACGACGACAACGAAGCTAGAGGCGCGGCGGCGACGACGACGGGCAAAGATACCGGCGGCGACGACGGCAGGCGAAGACGACGACGATGACGGGGGCGGCCATGACGGGCAAAGACGACGACGACGGGCGACGACGACGATGGCGACGACGACGGGAGAGGACGACGACGAAGACGACGACGATGACGACTACTACGACGACGTTGGCGACGACGGGCGAAGACGACGACGAGAGGCGACGACGACGACGACGGCGACGACGACGGGCGAAAACGACGACGGCGGCGACGAATACGACGTCGACGGCGACGACGACTGTGGTGACGACGAGGGGGACGACGACGACGACGGGCAAAGACGACGACGACGACGGGCGACGACGACGACGACGACGACGGCCACGACGACGGCGACAACGACGACGACGGCGGCGGCGGGGCTGGCGGCGGCAGCGGCGGCGGCGGCGGCGTCGACGACGACGTCGACATCGACATCGACCACGACCACGACCACGACGACGACGACGACGACGACGACGACGACGACGACGACGACGGACGGCGGACGACGGACGGACGACGACGACGACAACGGCGGTGGCGGCGGTGACGGCGGCGTCTCCGCGGCGCGCCCTGCGATGCGCGATTGTCGTCGCACACTCGCGCCGCCCCCCGTGGATTTGGACGCCCGAAACTCGTAGGGAACAAATGGGTACAATGCCCGACTACAGGTGTTGTCCCAAACCACCAGCGGCCGCTGTTGGGCAGGCAGCCTTCTCTCAAACGGACACAAGCCGCGGCGACGCCGACAACGAGTCCTGTCCAAAATGAACATGAACTGCTGTCGTTGTGCGTGATTCTAGCAGTACCCATTTCAATCGTCCCGAATGGAGAAGGGCGATCTCCGGACCTGACCGTGCCGAGCGGAGCTCCAGTACCTTCGCGGCCCTGCGGGTGACCTGTTTACCCATCCTGGGGGCCGCCGCCTGTCGTCGTCGTCGTCGTCGTCGTCGTCGTCTTCCGCCGTCTCCGCCGTCGTCGTCGTCATGGGTCGGCGGGTCGGCGGGCCCCCTGTTTTTTGTGTTTGAATTCCTGTCCCCGAGGCTGGGCGCAGCTCGAAAAGACGGCCAGGAGGAGCACTCCCTCCACCAAGTGGCTCGGGACCTAAGGCCAGAGTTTGAACAGATCTTGGCCCACGGACAAAAATTGAACACATTGTAGGACCGACGATGTCGACTCCGCCACCGTCGATGATAATCATTGTCGCCATATTCCATTGTCAAGCTTCTGTAATCTGGGACGACCCTGCGATCCCCCCACCCTTGATTAGTGTTAGGTCGGGCCTGTCCCCCAACAGGGGGATTTCCGGTGAAAAGCTCAAAATATTGAAAAATATCCCGAAAGTGCTCAAAAATACACCAAGAATAGTCCCTCGACTATGTTTTGAATATTTTGAATACTCCCCCTGTAGAGGGACTGACAACCTACCAGACCACCCCAACCCAACCCGAAGACCCGAATTTCGGGTTGGGTGGGGTACGGGTTCCACATGTGTTTTTTAGATGTTTCCCGACCCCCCCCCCACTGGAAATCGAGGGTAAATTTGAGCCTTCGGGTTGGGTGGGTTGGGGTGGTTTGGTGGGTGGTGAGGGACAGGCCGGACTTTAGATTCGTGGGGCCCTCCCAGACCCTTGGCCCCAGGAGCACCCCGGACGCCTTTTGCAGACGGTCCCCCCGTGCTTCCTGGGGCTCCCGGGCCCCCTGCCGGGCCGGCGACGGGCCACGAATACCCAAAGAATACTCCCCCGACTATGTTTTGACTATTTTGAACACTCCCCCTGTAGAGGGACAGGCCGGACTGTAGATTCGTGGGGCCCTCCCCCCCCCCCTCGCCTCGCCCCTCTTCAAGCGAATACTAGCGTGCAAGTGCGTTTCGACTTGCGTGATTTCCGCGCCCCCCCCCTGGGCTTGCTTCAGGCTCAGCCCCCCCCCCCGTCCATGCAAGTAAACTTGCCGGAGTCTAAAAATTAGCCTGGCGAAGGACCCAACCATGTGCAGTTGTGAATGCCGCAATTGTGCTGGGTGGTGGCGGACTGGGACCTTCGGTGGAGCTCCCGATGGGGCCACGAAACGCTGTACTGGGTGGGTGAGACGCGGTCAGCAAGGGATGTGCTGCGTGGTGGCGGACGCATGCGACCGGTGCCACTGGGACCTTCGGTGGAGCTCCCTATGGGGCCACGAAACGCTGTACTGGGTGGGTGGGTGAAACGCAGGCAGGGAGCAAGGGCTGTGCAGGGTGGTGGCGGACGCATGCGAGCGGTGCCGCTGGGACCTTTGGTGGAGCTCCCTACAGGGCTACGAAGCGCTGTTCTGGGTGGGTGAAGCGCAGGGAACAAGGGCTGTGCTGGTGGTGGCGGACGCAAGCGGGCAGTGCCACTGGGCCCTTTGGTGGAGCCCCCTATGGGGCCACGAAACGTGCGAGGGGTGTACCAGAATGGGGTGTGGAACCGCATGCCAGCGCAGCCACTGGGGCCTTCGGTGGAGCTCCATATGGAGCCACGAAACGTGTGAGGGGTGTGCCGAAATGGGTGGTGGAACCGCATGCGAGCGCAGCCACTGCGGCGTTCGGTGGAGCTCCCAATGGTGCCACGACACGTGTGAAGGGCGTGCCGAAAAAGGGGGTGGAACCGCATGCGGGCGCAGCCTCTGGGGCCTTCGGTGGAGCTCTCTATGGAGCCATGAACCGTGTGAGGGGTGTGCCGAAATGGGGGGAGAACCACATGCGAGCGCAGCCACTGGGGCGTTCGGTGGAGCTCCCCATGGAGCCACCCACGAAGCGTGTGAGGGGTGTGCCGAAATGGGGGGTGGAACCGCATGCGGGCGCAGCCACTGGGGCCTTCGGTGGAGCTCCCTATGGGGCCACGAAACGTGTGAGGGGTGTGCCAGAATGGGGGGTGGAACCGCATGCGGGCGCAGCCACTGGGGCCTTCGGTGGAGCTCCCTATGGGGCCACGAAACGTGTGAGGGGTGTGCCAGAATGGGGGGTGGAACCGCATGCGGGCGCAGCCACTGGGGCCTTCGGTGGAGCTCCCTATGGGGCCACGAAACGTGTGAGGGGTGTGCCAGAATGGGGGGTGGAACCGCATGCGGGCGCAGCCACTGGGGCCTTCGGTGGAGCTCCCTATGGGGCCACGAAACGTGTGAGGGGTGTGCCAGAATGGGTGTGGGAGGGGGAGGAGGGGGGAGGAAGGGGAGGAGGAGGAAGGAGGAGGAATGAGGAACGCGGGGCGACGTCTCTTCAAAACGAGGACCCAACACCACAGGATGGTTGGGAAAAACAGGCTCTGTGCTTCCTGGGGCCCCCGGGCCCCCCGCCGGGCCGGCGACGGGCCCGGATCGGTCAGGAGGGCGGCCGAGAGGCCCCGCGACGGCCCACCGAGGCCCCGCGACGCCCGCCAGATGCCCGAAGACGACCCAAGTGGGACCCCCAAGAGGCACCCAATGGTTTCGTAAGACGGCGGGGGGTGCTCTTCTGCTCTTCTGAAGGGGCCCTGGGACACACAAATAAACACACACAAATAAAATGATTCCCCATGTTTTCCCACATTTTCTGGAGTTTTGTCTTCCCGCCCAATTCCCATATTTTCGCATATTTTCTGGGGAGTCGACGAATAATTGTGTCTGTGCGTTTTTTCCCCTCCTGATCTTCGGCCGCCTGGGCGTCCGAAGCCGCCCGGGAGGCCAGAGAGGCACGCCGCATTTGACCTATACAAGGCTCCCAGGCGGTCCGAGCTCCAGAGCGGCCCATGGGGGCCCCAAGATGGCCCGACGAGTGACTACCTACCAGACCACCCCAACCCAACCCGAAGACCCGAATTTCGGGTTGGGGGGGGTAAGGGTTCCACATGTGTTTTTCCGATGTTTTTTGTCCGCTCCCCCCCACTGGAAATCGAAGGAAAATATGAGCCTTCGGGTTGGGTTGGAGTGGTTTGGTGGGTGGTGAACGAGAGCCCCATGACAGCCCAACATGATCCCAAGTCGCCCCGCGAATCATTCCCAATCGTAACCCGGTCGTTCAGGGAGACCACGGCTGGAAGCAAGGCGGGCCAGGGAAGCGCCCGGATGCCTCCAGATGGAATCCAGAAGGCCTCCAAAAGCCCCCAAGAATCCCTTGAAAGGTTTCGTGATGCCCCCGAAGAGGCTCTCTCATCGAATGGCCCTCCGCAAAAAGGGGCTAAGGATGGGAACTAAGTCGCCATGTCGAGAAATAACGGATCAGTTAATTCGCAATGGCGAGAAACTCGCAATGGCGAGAAATTCCCAATGTCAGTGGCAATGGCGAGAAATTCGCAATGGCGAGAAATGGCAATTCGCAATGGCAATTCGCAATGGCGAGAAATTCGCAATTCTCAATGGCAAGGACCCAAAAAATGACGGAAAAATAACGGATCACAATATTGCAACGAAGATGTCGGAAAAGGCCACAGCTGGTCATTGCTAAATGTTCCGTTTTACCTTCTTGCCTGCAAGGCGCGAAGCGCCCATGCAGTCTTGTGTACACACTAGTCGATCCACGTTGGTGTGCGTCCCTGATACATCGGTGATGCTGCGAGGACCGCAAGCGACCAAGACTGCATCGAGGACACTCTGGGAGAGGTGTTGCGCATGCCAAAAATTGTCGGAACACGAAAACCAGCTTCGTACTGGCTGTGGTCGATGTGGTGTTCCAGGACGGCCAAGTCGACCACAACCACAAGTGAAGTGCTCATGTCGAGCTCGGTGGGTTCTCCCCCAGGGGGCCCTCCCGAAAAATCCACTCAGTTGTGGTTGTGACTCTTTGTTTTCCCAGCGATGCGGCGCGATCCTCCGACCTCACCTGCCCAGACCCCCGACGTTGTGATCTTTGTGAACCACGTCGACTCCCAGAGGCCTGGACCCCTTCCCAGGGACCAATTCTTCATCATGAGTCGTTCTCTGACAGCCCCGAGGCCCGGTGAGGGCTCCCAGAGGCCGAAAACAGCGAAAAACCTCCAGTCTTAAGTCGGGCCTGTCCCCCTAAAGGGGGATTTTCGACAAAAAAAATACCCGCAAAATAATCAAACAATAATACAAAAATAGTCTGGGGACTATTTTTTGAATATGTTTTTACCTTTTTGGGGCATTTTCGGGGTTGTGGTACATTTATTTTTCGTCGAACATCCTCCTGGAGGGGGAAAAGCCCGACCTAACTCCGATCACGATTTCTTCGCGACGCGAGGGGGTCAGGGTACCCGATCCCCGTCTGCGGCAGAGACCTGGAGTTGTCTAGTCGGATTGGACGAAAGAGGGGGATAGCAAAGGGGGGGTTTGAGAATCAGCTCACGTAGCTGATTTTCCTGGCGCCTCCTGGCGCCGGAGGCGCCTATGTATCGAGGAATGGGCCCCTCGGTGAGGCCGAAACCAGCTGCATGCAGCAAATTTCGTACCCCCCCCCCTTTTCGGCGGTGGACAAACCTCCTCTTAGCAAACCTCCCCTTAGTGAAAACGGCCTGGGACCGAAACCGACGGACCTGGACCCGCAAAAATGACGGCCGCGACGTGCCAGGGTAGGAGGTCTGTCCACCCCCGACCTTTCCCAAACCCCCCCTTTCGTCTGGCCCGATCTATCGGGGATGGACACACCTCCCTTTAGTAAAACGTGGTTTAGTGAAAACGACCTGAGGCCCAAACCTGGCGGGCGCAAGCCTGGAAAATAACGGCCACGGCGCCCTCTCGAGAACCGAAAACGGACAATTCACTAATCGACGTGTCACTGTTGGGGGTTCTGTCCACCCGCGGGGATCGTTCAACCTTGAACGATCGGCCGTTTCCGAAACGTCCAAATCGTATCACATCGAACGATTCTGGGTCGCCCGCGGCGTTCAACGTTGAACGCCGCTGGCGGGGTCGCCGCCGGTCGACACGGCACGAACCTACCGTAGGAGGTCTGTCCACCCCCGACCTTTCCCAAACCCCCCCTGTCGTCTGGCCCGATCTAGGCCCCGGCCCGCGCGACGCCTGGGCCGCGTGGCCTCCGGCACGCCGTGCGTCGGCGCTGGCGCCGGGCCGGGGTGGCCCGCAGGCGCCGGCGCGGGCGGCTCGCCCTGGCGCGCGCCTCGTCCTCGTCGTCGACCTCATCCTCGGCCTCGTCCTCCGCCTCGTCCTCCGCCTCCTCCTCCTCCTCCTCCTCCTCGTCCTCCTCCTCGTCCTGCTCCTCCTCCAGCTCCTCGTGATCATCATCGTCAGCATCGTCCTCTTCGTCCTGCCCTCTTGGACTTCGGCACCCTCCTCGTCCGCGTTGCCCTCATCCTGCGCCTCGTCTTCCTCGTCGTCGTCGTCCTCCTCGCCCTCCTCCCCTCCCTCCCTCCTCGTTTACCTGTTGATCCTGCCCCCCAACTTCCTCCTTCCCCATCCCACTGCCCATACACCTTCTCCGCCTCCCTCTTCTTTCCTACCTCTCATCCCCCTCATACCAAGGGAACACTCATCTTACCTCCAAGAACGCTCGAACCATTCGGGAGACCCCAGATGTCCTCCGAATATCTCCAAGCGCCTGACGGAAATTGATGGAAACCAAAGCCGTCTTAACATGAACCCGATGCAACCCCAAATAGGGGAACGGTTCCTAAGCGGCATTGCGAGGTATTGCTCGGCATTGTACTGCCTTGCTTGGCGTTGCAAGGCCTTGCATTGCGTTGTGCTGCTCAGCGATGCTTGGCTTTGCTTGCGGTCCTTTGCACTGCTTGGCATTGCTTCGAATTGGCTGGCACTGCTTGGTATTGCTGGACATTGCGTTGCGTTGCTCTGCATTGATTTGCGTGTCTTGACTTTGCAGTGCTTGTCGAGGATTTGAGCTGCTCGGCGCTACTTGGCATTGCGTGGCGTTGCTCTGCATCGCCTGGCATCGCTAGGCAATGATTTGCACTGCTCGGCGTGGGTTGGCACTGTTTGACACTGCGTGCCAGCGCCTGGCAGTGCGTGGCACACACACGGGATGCCTCAAAAACATCAGGACCACGACCCAGGAAGGCCGGCCTCCGAACAGTCGGAGGAGAGCAAGACCAGCGGGGCCGCGCGAGCCCCGAGGAGCGCGAGCCCGAGAGGCGCCACTGGGACGAAACATGACCGGGCACAACCAACCCGTATCACTACAGTCGGGGCGTTGACCTAAGGAACCCCAAATAAGGAACGAGGCCCCTTTTGTCCATAAGTTAAACTTCGGTTTCCTATCGAAAACATAAGGAAAACCTGAGGCAAGCTGTGAAACACTTCAGGAACGCGGAGCCCCTCCCCAACCAAAAGGGTTCCTTCTTCAGGGCCCCGACTGTAGGACGCGCGGCAAGGAGGCAAGGGCGGACCGCGTCGGCACTTCGCTGGCGGGGCGCGGCCAGCAAGAGCGGCCGAGGAAGGACCGAGGAGGTTAAGGATGCCAAGGTACCCTTGGGAAGATTGCCCAGCCTTACTATGCGGGTTCACTGTAACCCCATGGAGCCCCCTGTATAAGGAAGCCAGACCGGAAAGTCGCGGGAACCCCAGTGCAACCGGGTCTGGCACCCACCAGGTTCTTCACGAACAAATGAAAACATCTTGGGCTGAACCTACGTCCTAAGTGGGGTGGGGAATGGTCAGATGAGCTCCGAAAATTCCTGACACTAACTCCGAACAACCGTGCGAGCTCGTCCGAAGCTCTCCCCAGGGGAGCCCGCCCAAGTGGCGGCGTGGACGACGACCTCGCACGGCCAGGACGAGGACAACGACGAGGGCAGCGGCAGCGGCACCGATGAGGGCAACGACCCCGCGACGGGGATGAGGGGCAACGATCGGGAGGGGGACTGGCACAGGGGGGAAGCATCGACCTGGAATCGGCGATGCATCGCCGATACCTGGGCGACAGGCTCCCGAACGTTCCTGGGCGGGGCGGTCTATCGGGCCACGATCGGCGACCAAGCGGCGATTGGGGCAGGAGAGCCCGTAATCGAATCGATCAGTCGGATCGGCGATCGAAATGAGTCGGATCGGCGGAAATCGGCAGCCAAGTCGGGAGAAGTCGAAAGGCTAGCAATCCATTGTTTGGTCAAACCCTTTCGCCCTCGGCGTTTGGTCGAGCACTCTCGCCCTGCTGATGCGCCGTGCAGGCGCCTGGCACACCTGACCTGACCTGAGGACAGCTTCATGAACACTTCACTCCGCCTCACACGAGTGCTTCCCTGTCACGCCACAGAGCGTGATCCCACAAGTGAATAGTACGCGGTCCCCCCGATGAGGACTGAAAACATGGCTCCGAAACTCGAAAGCAAGCTGCCCCCCCGTCCTGGCGACTCCTGGCCACGCACAGGCGAATCCTAAGGCAACCTAGATAAGCGACACGTGCCTAGGCGATCAGAGAGACTGCGTCAGCATCTGCTCACATCACGGGGGGACAATGGACCAAGGCTGGTCGGCCTCCATCAGGGAATCGGCATCTGACTCGGAATCCGAAGCCGCATCGGAATCGGAGAGCCCCCGAAGCCGAAACGAAACGAGTCGGCGGAATCGTCGCTTCGTCGTTGCGTCCCCCCCCTCCTCCTCCTCCTCCTCCTCCTCCTCCTCCTCCTCCTCCTCCTCCTCCTCCTCCTCTTCCTCTTCCTCCTCCCCTTCCTCCTCCTCCTCCTCCTCCTCCTCCTCCTCCTCCTCCTCCTCCTCCTCCTCCTCCCCCCCTGAGCCTCTCCCCCCCTGCGGGGCGCGCCCCCGGCCGAGCTCCTCCGCAGCCCTCCCGACCGCAGAGGCCCGCCCTCCGCAAGCCCCTCCCGCCCCCTCTGCGGGGCGGCGGCACCGCCGACGAGGCCGCCGAGGACGGCGGCGACGTGCGGCGGCGGCGGCGGCGCGGCGCGGGCCCCCGCCGCGGCAGCCGCGCGGGCGAAGGCCGACCGCGGGCGGCGACGGGGACGAGGACGGCGGCTTTAGAGTCGATTTAACTTTGTCGAAAGTCGACTTCATCGGGAAGAAAGTCGACTCAATCGAGTTTTTTAACATCGATTTAATCGAGTTCTAAATCGAATAAATCGGACCGCGGCGGCGGCGCGCGGCGGCGGCGGCGACGGCGAACGACGGCGGCGGCGCGCGGCGGCGGAAGCAGGCGCACCCCTGGCTTAGCAGCGGGGCGTGCGGCGGCGCCGCGCAGCAGCGCGGGTGCCCGGGGCTGCGGGCCCGGCTCCTTCGGGCGGGGTGCGGTGGAGTGGATGCGCGATGGATGTGTTGTTCCACAGGCGCCGCTGGCCCAGGGCGCCGAGAGGGAAAACCTCAGGCGCGCTCGAGCGGGCTGGAGGCTCCCAGACAAGAAATAGCCTGCCACCGTGCGATTGAATGGTCCGCTTGGGGTGGGGGGGCCACGCACGTCGAGGGCCGAAACGAAGAGGAAAGGGGGCTTCCCTGCGAAAGGAGGCGGCGAGGAAGAGAGGGCGCCTCGGGGGGGAGGGGGTGCGAGAGGACGGGGCGGCCCGCACCCGCCCCGAGGAGTTCGCGGAAGTCAAGGAGGGCGGTCCTCCTTGTCACCCCCGTCGTTCCCCCCATCCTCCTCCCTCGTTCCCCTTCGTCCTCCTCACTTCTGCCTTATCACAGTGAGGGGGCCGAACGGCCATTCACTGTCCCTGGGTGCGTGGCTGAAGTGGAATTCCGCGGTGCGGATTATCGTTGTTGTTGTTGTTGCTGAACTTGTTGTTGTTGGTGTTGTTGATTGTGTTGTTGTTGTTGGTGTTGTTGTTGTTGTTGTTGTTGTTGTTGTTGTGGTTGTTGTTGTTGTTTGTTGTTTGTTGTTTGTTGTGTGTTGTTTGTTGTTTGTTGTTTGTTGTTGGTTGTTGGTTGTTGGTTGTTGGTAATTGGTTGTTGTTGTTGTTGATGATGTTGTTGTTGTTGTGGCTGATGTTGTTGTTGTTGAACATTATTAATTCTAAAGAATAATTATTGTTGGGACCCCTGGTGCGCGCCCCCCCCGCCGCGCCTAGGCCGCAGCCACATTTTCATCATTTTCGTAAGGAAGTCTCAGGCAAAACGGGGTATACCAGATCCGGTTGTGTTGTTACGATCGGTTTTCCCTTGCAAAAAATAAGGCAAAGTGGACATTTCTTGTTCTAACATGACCAAACTTCAAGAATCCCTTGCAAAAAATGACACGAAGTACACATTCGCGCGCGCAAGACGAAATCCTTCCAAAACCTTAGTCTTCGTAGCGATTTTCACATAAAAACATGAAAAACCCAATGGTTTTTCAAAAAAAAGGGTTTCAAAAATTCACCCCGCGCGCTCTTGCGGATTTCTTAGGAAACCCAATACTTTTTTCAACATTTCTGTCAAACGGGCTCTTGCGAGCAACTTTTTCACGTGCTTCGAACTTCTGCAACAAAGGTTGCGCGCCTGCCAAGGCCATCATCCCTGTCAAATAATACCATGTGGGACACATTCGTTATTTCTTCGCGCGCGCACGCCGAAATCTTCAAAAATCATTGGGTTTCTTAGGGATTTTAGCACCGCGCAACATAAAATCATACGAATCGCACCGTAGGTTCTCGAAACACATCTGTACGAATTTTCAAAATTTCTACCCGCGCGCGCTGTCCGAATCCTAAAAAAACCAATGGTTTTTCAACATTTATGTTATAGAGCTCGCGCGAGCTGTTTTCGCAAGCTCTTTCAACGGCGTTCGCGCGCCTGCCAGGGGCCACAATCCCTTGCACAAAATATCATGCGGGACACATGCGCGCGTCGTCGCGTCGTCGTTGTCGGCATGGTACCACAACAAGTCAGTGTGTCACCACGTCATCGAACAAAATCACTGATCACTGTCACATCCGTAGCCATCTCGGATCAAGGTATCGCCTGTGTTCTTGGATGGGTCATGGCTTTGTCGGCGAAAGCCCTTGACGAGCAGTATGGCCCAGAGCTGTCGCGGCCTCCCTTGGCCGACTGCGGCAGCCCGTTCTTAGACAACCATCGGGACAACCATCGGGACAACCATCGGGACAACGATCGGGACAACCATCGGGACAACCATCGGGAGAACCATCGGAACAACAATCGGGACAATCATCGGGACAATCATCGCGACAACCATCGGGACAACCACAACCATCAGGACCTCCAACCAGAGAGAGCTAGTCACGTGTATTTCGTAGACGAATGAGCCAGTATTGCACATTGAGGCCGGAACGACAACCACAGAACAAGAATGAGCATGTATCGTCTCACAACAACGGAAACAAGTCCTGTGGTATGCTGGCGCCACGCACGTGGTACCACTCAAAATAAGTGTCTTCGCTTGTGTGGTACAGAAACGGAAAAACGTCGGAAAACGGTACAGGTGTCCAGTGTTGGAACAGGGGGAAAAGTCGTATACTAAGCTAGCTTCCACAAAATGTTACCACAACAAGTCACTGTACCCATGCGCCAGTGTAGTAGCCAAGGTCGTCCGCAGGCCACGAAGTGAAGTGTCCGAACGTCATAGGGCGGGAAGCTGGGTGTGGGTGGTGGCGAAGAGTCGTTTGGAAATTTGGTAGAGCTTGAACCGGCCCCCCCACAAAGTGGGGGTATTGCCCGCCTCCTATGAAAACCCTGGCACTGGTGAGAACGGAGTGTCCCCACGTGCTAGTATTGTTGTTGTTGTTGTTGTTGAACATTATTTCTTCTAAAGAATAATTATTGTTGGGACCCCTGGTGCGCGCCCCCCCGCCGCGCCTAGGCCGCAGCCACATTTTCATCATTTTCGTGAGGAAGTCTCAGGCAAAACGGGGGCGTCCGGATCCGGTTGTTTTGTTGTCCCCCGCTTTCCCTTGCAAAAAATAAGCTAAAGTGGACATTTCTTGTTCTAACATAACCAAACTTCAAGAATCCCTTGCAAAAAATAAGGTAAAGTGGACATTCGCGCGCGCAAGACGAAATCCGTCCAAAACCTTGGTTTTCGTAGCGATTTTAACATAAAAACATCAAGAAGCCATTTTATATATATATATATATATATATATATAAAAAAAAAAAAAATCATCCCGCGCGCTCTTGCGGATTCGTAGGAAACCCAACACTTTTTAAACATTTCTGTCAAACGGGCTTTTGCGAGCAACTTTTTCGAACTTCTGCAACAACGGTTGCGCACCTGCCAGGGCCATCATCCCTGTCAAATAATACCATGCGGGACACATTCGTTTTTTCTTCGCGCGCGCACGCCGTCGTCGTCGGCCGCGGGGCCCTGAATAGTAGCCACGGTCGTCCGCATGCCACGAAGTGAAGTGTCCGAACGTCATAGGGCGGGAAGCTGGGTGTGGGTGGTGGCGAAGAGTCGTTTGGAAATTTGGTAGAGCTTGAACCGGCCCCCCCACAAAGTGGGGGTATTGCCCGCCTCCTATGAAAACCCTGGCACTGGTGAGAACGGAGTGTCCCCACGTGCTAGTAATTGTTGTTGTTGTTGTTGTTGTTGTTGTTGTTGTTGTTGTTTTGTTGTCGTCGTCCCACCCGCAACCCACCCACCCCGCGACCCACCCGCGACCCAACCCGCGACCCACCCCGCGACCCACCCGCGACCCCCGCGACCCCCCGCGACCCACCCCGCGACCCACCCCGCGACCCACCCGCGACCCACCCGCGACCCACCCGCGACCCACCCCGCGACCCACCCCGCGACCCACCCCGCGACCCACCCCGCGACCCACCCGGCGACCCACCCGCGACCCACCCGCGACCCATCCGCGACCCACCCCGCGACCCACCCGCGACCCACCTTCGACCCAAACCACGTTCAGGGTACAAACCACATTTTTCGGCGCCAGCGGCTGTTTTTTTTTTTTTGCATTTTTTCCAAATGGAGTGCCCGCGAGCCACCCCGTGACCAACTCGCGACCAACCCGCGGCCCAAACCACGTTCAGGGTACAAACCACATTTTTCGGCGCCTGCGGTGGGCATCTTTTGCATCCGCTTCAGGTGGAGAGCCCGCGGCCCATCCGCGACTACGTTCAGGGTACAAACTACATTTGTCGGCGCCTGCGGCGGGCATCTTTTGCATTCGTTCCCGGTGGACAACCCGCGACCCAAACCACGTTCAGTGAACGAACAAATTTTTGTTGGCGCCTGCGGCGGCTGCTCTTGCATTCCTTCCAGGTGGAGGTGGAAAGCCCGCGACCCACCCGCGACCGAAACCACGCTCACTGAACAAACCAATGCCGCACAAACGCGGCGGCGGATTTTCGCATGCCGTCTGAGCCCGCAAGGACCTCTTCAAGCCCCGCGCAACCACACCAGCCCGTCCAGCAACTTTGCCGCGAGTTGCCTTGATCAGAGAAGAAGGGGAGCATAAAGTGGAAGAAAGGACTGCGTTGCAGTTACCTTGGGAAAGGAGGGGGAGGCAGGAGGAGTAAACAGGGGACGAGGAGAACGCGGAAGAAGAGAGGATGTAAGGATAACCCTGGGAAGCAAACAGTAAGCCCCCCGGCGATATCGTTAGCAAAAAAAATAAAATACATAATTATTTTGGGCGGCGCCCTCCGGCGATATCGTTAGCACATAATATATATATAATGAAATAATTAAATGCATTTGCCCCCCCCCCCAGGCCCGAAGCTGGCGGCAACGTGAGGCGACAGCCTGAAGAACCAATGCGCACGAACGCTTCCCAATGGGTTCCCGCCTAGAACACAGGGAAACTGACGCGCATCGGAAATCAAAGGTAAATCAAAAACGACAAACCATGAAATCACCGCAAGCAGCTATACTTGAAAGGACCCCCCAAAGGAATCCCAGAGGAATCTCAGAAGGAAGCCCACGCAGAATCTCAAAGGAACCCTATTGGAAATTCATCGCAATCTCAAAGGAACCCCACAGAAATCGCAAAAAGGGATCTCAGCGGCAGCTCGAACGAACCACGAAGGAATCTAAGGAATCTGGAACACGCGGGCTCGCGTGGACATAAGCAATCCCTATTGCGACGGCACTAGGGAAATTGATTATTTCAGGGGGTCCTATGGGAGAGTCCACGGAGAGATATCGCAGACGGATTCCGCGAACCCCCCCGCGATATGTTAGCACATATATTGGAAATAAAATAATCCACAAGCGCCTGAGGTCGATGTGATGCTCCCTTCAGGGATTGTCGAAGGAATGTCAGAGGAACTTGAAAGGACCCCCAAAGGAATCCCAGAAGAATATCACAAATAATCCCACGCATGACATCGAAG